CTTCATCCATAAAAGGATAGACCTGATGGCCTGTAAAGTGCCTTCCTGCTCAAAAGCAGTGATCCTATGATTGTATGTGTGGGTGGGGATGTGGGTAGAGGGATGTATGTATCCACATGTGTATATGTGTATTTGCAAGTGAGGCAGTCAGACAGACAGGAGAGAGAAAGGGAGCAGAGGAAGAGAGACAGAGATGAAGAGGGGAGAGGAAGGAATTAATGGCTTAAATGGCAGTCTCTTGAAGCAAGGGAAGACTGTCTTGTAAGTTCCTTGAAGGCAAGGAACTCAAGATCGTGGAATCCTAGAACTGAGCAGAGTATAGAGTCATCCAGCCCAACTCTACTATGGAATAATAGAATTTCTAGGAGTTCTCCATCCATTTTACAGGTAGGAAGACTGAGGCCCATGGAGGTAACTCAGCTCAAGTGCTACCTTCTGCATAACACCTTCACTGATGCCCTCAACTAGAAATGAACCTTCTGTCTTTGAGTATGTCAAAACTCTCTTCTCAAGACTCTCCTATGTAATTAATCACATTCTAGCTTATATTACAATTATTTATGTATTTGACCTTTTAATGCAGGACATAGTATGAAGGATGGAGATTTAGGAAGTAAGTGCTGTTTGAAGAATTTCAAATATCTTCTCATCATAGAGAAGACTTTGAAACATTCTAGTCCCTGAATTGTGATTGAAATTTACCAATGACTTCAATACCAAGCTAGAACAATGACCTTGAATAAAAAAATAAAAAATAAATAAAAAAAAAGAATGGGTTATGGGTTTCCACTGATGATTGCTTGATAGGATTGCTGTATTTCTTTCAGACTTTAAGAAAGACTGCAACATAGTAGAATAGACTCATGGAACTGTGGATAGAGTCTGGAAGCCTGGGAACTAGAAAAACTAGGGTTTAAGTTTTGCTTCTGACCGACCCTGGCTATATGAGCATAAATCACTTAATGTCTCAGTGCCTTCAGGGAGCTCTTCAAGGCTTAGAGTTATAGGGGCAGCTAGGTGGTACAGTGAATAGAGCACCGGCCCTGGATTCAGAGGACCTGACTTCAAATCCGGCCTCAGACATATAACACTTACTAGCTGTGTGACCCTGGGCAAGTCACTTAACCCCACTGCCTAGCTTTAAAAAAAACCACTTAGAGTTACCAGTCTGGGTTAGTGAAGGGAATTTCCACACCAGGAGTCTTCTATGCCAATGAGCATCTCTCAGGTTTGAACCCCTTTTCCCATCCCACCATCCATGCCCCTCAAAGAAAACAAACCTTTAGGTTGGCTTGTTTTTAACCAACCATATGTGTTCATTTGTAGAGCCTGGGTGGAAAAAAATGAAGGGCTTATTTTAATTATCTGTCTTATTTTCATAAAAGTGTACTATATTTTCTGACAAATCCTCCAATCTTGGATTTTTTTTATTAGTCCCCTTCCCAGACTGCTCCTAATGTTCTGCTTTTCAATGTTGGAGCCCATTTTCCCGGCCTGTAATGAAACACATCTACATTATCATATTCTTTAACATCCTCCTCATCCAAAGTACCGTCAGGCCTATCCCTGTGGCCAATATTGTAATTGACTCCAGTCTTAATGGGTGACTTTGGAATGAGGAACAATACAAATGCTATGCATTCTCTACACATTGGTGGTCTCTATCTCTTTGTCATGTAAACGCCCAGCCCTTCCAAACTATCTGTCAGAGGAACAGAGAACATACTACAGTGGATGGAGTGCTAAGCCTGGAGGCAAGAAGACCTGCACCCAAACCCCACCTCCGATACTTTCTTACTGTGTGACCCTAGGCAAGTAACCTGACTTATCTGGTCATCAGTTCCTTCATCTGTAAAATGAAAATCATAGTAGCACGTGCCTTTCAGGATGAAATGGAACAATGTACATAAAGTATTTTGCAACTGTTGAAGGTGCTGTATCAGGCAATCAATTGTTTTAATTTTATACATTTAGTTATTTTATAGCCTTCTTTTCTAAATATGTCTCCTAAGCATATTCAACATATACATATATATGCTTCCTCAATATGTTTTCTAAATGTATGAAATCTTTATAAAGTACTTTACAAATCTTAAAATGCTACATAAATGCTATTATTATTATTATTATTATTATTATTATTATTCCTTGTTCCCCTTCCCTGATAGTCATCGTTTGTGGTATTGTAGTTAGAAGACCCTGGTTCAAATTCTGTCCCTATCACTTACAAGAAAGGAAGGAAGGAAAGAAAAAAGGAATGGAGGGAGGGAGGAAAAAAGAAGGGAGGAAGGAAAAAGGAAGGAAGGAAGGAAGGAAGGAAGGAAGGAAGGAAGGAAGGAAGGAAGGAAGGAAGGAAGGAAGGAAGGAAGGAAGGAAGGAAGGAAGGAAGGAACAGAGAAGAAACAAGTGTTTATTAAGTGCTCACTATATGGCAGGGATATAGAAAGCAAAAAGAAATTCCTTGAATTTCTGCCCTCAGGGAGCTCATATGTAACTGGGGAAGGTGCCACATAAAAAGGAACTGAAAGGCATGTGGGGTGGGGAAGAAAAAAGTACCTACTAGGAAAAGTATGCTTTTAAATATAATAGAAGGTCAGTATGGGCCCCTCCACAAAATGGAGACTCAGCAATGGCAGAAGGTGAGGACCTTGCAGAGGGATGCCTATGTAACTTTGGGCAAGTAACTTAGCTTATTGAGGACTCATTTTCCTCAACTATAAAATGAAGGTGTTACACTAGACAGTCTGTAAAGTCCTTCCCACCTCTAAATCTATGATCCTACAATACTATGATTAAAAGGGAAAGTGAAAAAGATAAGGGAGTTAAGATAATAGCCTTTATATAGGGTTTTAAGGTTTGCAAAATACTTTGCAAATAATTCATTTTATCCTCACAACAACCCCTGGAGGTAGGTGTTATTATTATCCCCATTTTGCAGATGAGAAAATTGAGGTCCAGTGACTTCCCCAGGGTCACACAGCTGGTAAACATGTAAGACTGTATTTGAACTCAGATCTTCCTGACTCCAGGTCCAGTGATCTAGCCCCTGTACCATCTAGCTGCAACAGAGCAAAGCTAAAGACATCAACAGAGTCGGATAGAATATAATATTCAGCTCCCATAGACTCCTTACCTCCCCAAAGAGGGAAGGTAGGTGCATTTTCTTATCCCATCTTCAGAAGCCAATTGGTCACTAGAATTCTTTTGGGTTATTGTTATTAGTCATTGCAGTTTATTGCTGCATGTGACCTCCATCAGCCTTCATGATGTTTAATAGTTTGGAACAATGGCTTGAGGAGATGTCGAAGAGGTCGGGGCCAGGGTTTGTGTTTGTACTTTTGTCTGCATTAGGATTCTTCTAAGTCAGGGTTCTTTCCAGCCTTTTCCCTCATTTCCCTCATGTGTTATATAATATCTGCAAAGAAGAGCTAGATGCCAGATGAAGAATACAAGGAGAATCCAATGCCCCCCCCATTCTACTCATTGTTGCCTGGGGCAGTGTAAACATGGCATCATTGCTGGAAAGGTCACACAGGTAAATCAGCAGTGGGACCCTCTGGGCTTTATCAGTGGGTGCCTAGAGAAGAGGAGACTGTTTGCAGATGACATGTTACTTGCTTCTACCCTGAGACATTACTCAGATTAAAGATCCTCCACCCCCACTTAAAATATACCAGAATAAATAGTCTGCTCCTGGGACAGGGCATTGACTGTCAATCAGGAGATTAGAACCTCATGGGGGAGGAGAGGGAGGAGAGGGGAAGATTTCCTGAAGATGCATTCAAATGGCAGCTACAGCAACAACATTGAATCCAAAAGATGTAAAGTGTTTTTATTAATTCTTAGAGTAGTAGGTGAAAGACCAGCTCTGGGTTTAAATTCTGCCTTTAAATCCTACTGGCTGTGTGATTCTGGTGAGTTATTTCATCTCTCAGTGCCCATAGGCATTTCTCCACAATGAAAGATTACAGACGAATTGCTGTTGTGCATCAATGGAGGAAGTTTCCACACTGGAAGTTTCCTCCATTGATGAAATCATAGATCCAAACATCTCTCCCCTCCAAAATGAAAAAAAAAAAAAGGAAGCCAGACAGAATACCACGTTCACCTTGCTTCTCTGTCGCTGACTAGCTGTGGGAGACATGACTCTTCACTTACCTTCTCTGAATCTCATGTCTTCATCTATGAAATGATACTTTAACGTCCCTTATATCTATGATTCTACAATTGTACCAAAATGACCGTGGACAAGTCATCTCATTACTCTTGGCCTCAGTTTCCTCATCCTTAAAATGAGGAGATTAGACTAGGAGAACTCTAAGGGAACCTTCCATGTTTAAATCTATGGCCCACAAAAGTTTGTTTTGCATCGCTGCTGAAAAGCTCACACAGGTATACCACCAGTGGGACTCTCTTGGCCTGACTATCATTATTAGAAATCAGTCTTAGAAAACTAACAAAGAAAAAAAAGTTCAGGCAAACTCACACACTCTAATGAGTACAAATTTGAAGAATTGATTTCTATGACAATACACTGTCTTTTTTAATCCAATACTTTGAATAACATCTTTTTCCCCCAACATTTGCCTTGTTTCATCCTTACATTGTCCATGTCATACCTGAAAATGTGCTGAATTTGAAGTCAGAGGACCTGAGTTCAAATCCCAGGTCTGCCATTTCTATTACCTGTGTGACCTTGGGCCAATTACTTAACATCTCTGTGCTTCATTGTCCTATTCTATGAAAGGAATGATTCTGACTCGATGACATCAGAGGCCTTGGGTTCAATTCTCACTTTATATTTACCGTTTGTGATCTTGGGGTAAGTCACTACTTCTGACCTAAGTTACCTCAACTATAAAATGGAGAATTGGACTAAATGATCTCTAAGTTCCCTTCCAGCTCTAAACCCATGACTCATAATCCTGTGAACTTATAGATGAAGCATTAGTTCATTCAAAGGTGAGAGGTTTTTAATCTCCATAATGTTGTTATGCCAGGTAGTGTACACAAGTCCATTTCCCAAATCTATATGCATGCCTCTGTTGACTTTTCTGTAAGATAGCAGCAGCAGCCATTAGCTTTGAGGAGATGTAATCCATCATTCTGAATAAACAAAAGGAAAGTATCCAGTAAGTAACAGGTTATTTGTTATGTAATGACAGATTTCAAGCATTTTTAAGTTTCTGACTCTCAGCTGTCAAGTTTTTGAGGTCATGATTTCAACCTTGATGCCTGTGTCCCTACTCTGTCAGCCATAATTCTCTGTATGTATCCCTTTTTACTCTTTTCCTTGCCTGAAAGAGAATTGCCCTGACTTTCCTACCACATGTATATTTCATTATACTCTAAGTGGGTCAAGATCCAGAGGGAGAAAGTATGCATTGTTGGAAAAGTTGCTGGATTTGGAATGAGAGAACCTGGATTTGAATTGTGACTCTGCTTTACTACCTGTGTGGCCATGGGCAAATCATAACTTGTTTGGGTTTCAGTTTCCTCATCTGTTAAATGGCGAGGGACGGGGAAGGGGCGGAGATTGGAGTACTAACATACCTTCCACCTCTAAATCAAGTATCCCATGATCTGGTATGAAGAGTAGCCTTGCAGGATAATTACCAAGTTACTACTTTGCTAAGCATTCTTCAGTCAATAGAAAATTCTGTCTCATCATATTATAAACCTGATGTGGTAATGTTCATAACCTTTTAGCAGGCTAGGCACCTGTGTGTGTTTGGATGAATTGAATGATATCAATTATAGGATCATAGAGTTGGAAAGAATCTCACAGACCATCTAGTCAAATTCCTTCATTTTATCAATAAGGAAACTTGTGAATGAAAACTTCGGAAGATACAAATCAGGAAAACACACTAATTACTCACTTCTCAACAGTAAGGGCTTAAAGCAAACCACCATCACCCCCATGCTTAGGGATGGAATGTTATAAATTCAGCCTAGTCAAAGATCTATGGCCCTGGGTTGCTACTGATCGGCTCAGTGCCTACTCAAGAGAAGCCAGAGACAATGGGTTAGTAACTAGCTCTTCAAATAACCACTACAGGTGACCAAATGACCACATTGTACCTTGACCCCAACATTGTGCTTTCATTGCTCACCTTTGAGTATGAAGGACAAATAACAATATCTGTCTTCTACAGTGACTAATATAGTAGGCACATAGTAGGCAGTGACTAAGTGTTGATTTCTAGACTTGGACTCAGGAAGATCTGAGTTCAAATCCAGTCTCAGATATCTACTAGCTATATAACATAGGGCAAGTCATTTAACTTCTGTTTGGCTCACTTTTTTCATCTATAGAATGGAGATAACGATAGTACCTACTTCCCCGATTTGTTATTAATATAAAAGTAGATAACATTTGTAAGGCATTTTGCAAACCTTAAAGCACTCCATAAATGTTAGCTGTTATTATCAAAGTCTACTTAAAAAAAAGATTGACATTCCAGATGCTGTATAGTCATTGGCTTCCTACATAAATTTTGATGGGATCTCTGCTTTGGGTGAATTCCTGTAAGTGTCTTAATGTGTTTGGTAGAGGGATCCCTTCCACTGCCATAGGTTGCAACTCCACTGTGGCTTAGGAGAAGGTCTTAGATCCTGTGTCCCCAAATCCATCACTCTGCGACTAAACTAGCTCCATAAGTAACCACCCAGTCTCATCTGTTATGATTATATTAATTGTTGAGGCAAACTTTAAAAAAAGAGTTATTATTTTTTAATTCAGTTGTTTTATGTTAATTGTGTCTGGATCCTACTAGGAAACGGGCTTTTCCTTTTGCTCAGTCTAGTCATAATCCAGTTTGGGGTTCTAGACGGTAATTGACTTGTTTTTTGTAAGTTGCTTTGGGTGTTTGTTCTGTAGCATAGAACATAATCCTCCACATCCATCCTGCTTCTCCTTCCCAGGGGGCAATACAAGAGTGGTCACATTTGGACATGGAAGCCCATACACACAATTGACTTTTCTCTTTGAAATAGGCTTGGACATTTTCTTAAACTTGTGCTAATATCAATATAAAACAGGTTTGATCTTGAATCAGTCAACTTCACTTGATCGTTTTCTTGGTAACATGGCTTAAAAGTTTCTGTTTACTATTGAAACCAAAACATTTCCTCTCCATTAAATTAGATCTACACTTGAGACAAGTAATTCAATTGAATAAGCACATTTTTTAAATTTTAGAAAGAAATTATTGATATTTTTTGTTTTTGCATCCTCTCCAGTTCCACTGAACAAGTGGACATTCCGCCTTGTTTTGAAGAAGTTTCATAAGGGTGAACCTGCTACCCTACTAAGCTGCCCATTCCATTTTGGGATAGCTTCAATTGACAGGAAGCACTTCCTTATGTCAATTTTCCACCCATTTCTAGGGCTGGCCTCTGGGTCCACCTTGAACAAATAAACCCATGGAAGCATTGTGTTTCCTTATTCAATCTTTCTTCTCCAGGCTAAACTTTCCCTCTTCTTTCATTTGGCCCTCCAATAGTAAATGTGATCTTCAGTCTCTTCCCTCCCCTTCTCTACAGAAGAATGGTCCATCCTCTCAGTTTCTTTGCTAAAGTGTGGCCCCCAAAGGTAACTCTAATTCTTCAGATGTAGTCTGAGCCGAGGAGAGTACTGTAAGACTCTCCACTCTTGTTCTGGACACTATGCCTCACTTAATCAGATCCGAGATCAGATACACTTTTTTTCATGCCACAGTGTTCACAGTTCATTAAAATTCCCAGATCTTCTCCACCTGAACTCTTTTTTTTTTTTGGCTTTTTTGATGAGGCAATGGGGGTTAAGTGACTTGCCCAGGATCACACAGCTAGTAAGTGTCATGTGTCTGAGACTGCATTTGAACTCATGTCTTCCTGACTCCAAGGCCAGAGCTCTATCCACTGTGCCACCTAGCTGCCCCCACATGAACTCTTGAAAATCAACAAGGTCATAGACACTGTACTAAGTCCTGGGGATACAAAGAAACCCTTGTCCCTGCCACCTAGCACTCACATTCTACTGGGAGACGATGAGTAAAGCACTAGGTAGATTAAAAGGGACACAGAGTAGTGGAAGGTAATCTCAGAGAGAAGGCCCTAAGGGCTGATGGAGCATAGGAATGACCTCCTATAGAAGGTGGGATTTAAACTGAGCATTTAAGGAAGCCAGGGAGTCTGAGAGGTAGAGATGAGAAGGGAGAGCCTTCAAAGCATGAGGGATCACCGGTGAAGAGACACTGAGTCAGGAGATGAGGGTCGGGTGTGAGACGGAGCAAGAAGTTGATGAAGTTGGATTGTAGAGTGAGAATCATTTCCTCTTGTGGTGAGGCAGGAAACGGAGAGGGAGAGATTCATTCTAAGCATTTTGAGTTAGACTTCAGAACCGGTTTTCAGGAACTTGGATACGTTAAGTGCTCAACAAAGATTTTTTAATGAATTACATATCACTAAATGAATGATTTTTTTTTTTTGCACAGAAGCAATCAATAGTTAGGTTCCATAGTCTAGATATAAAGTTCAACTACATGATGGGTTAAATGGGCTTTGTTGGCTGTCTTGGGAAGCTAGCTGGATGACAGACCACATTCCCTTTGAGAAAATTGCCTTCTGGGTTACAACCAACCTACAAGCAGATTTTAGAAATAAAACCTGTTCACAAATGGAGGACAGGCTATAAAACTGCTTAGTCACCCCAATCTGATGATTCACAGCTGGAGAGAATTTGCTGTAGAGAGGACCAGTGGAAAGAGTGTAAAACAATGGGGAAAGTACTAGCCCTGGATTCTGAAGACTGAGTTGAAATCCTTTGATGCTCACTGCGTGTGTGACTTTTGACAAGTCGTGTAACCTCCCTGGGACTCAGTTTCCTCCTCTATAAAATAGGTTAGACTAAATGGCCTTGAGACCATATTCCGGTACTAGATCCATGAACTCTATGTGTCTTAGTCCTTTGACATATTTACAGTGAGGTGCCTAGGCCAAAGGCAAAGGAGAACCTGAACTAAGGTGTCAGTGTGTATGTGATGGGGTAGCTGTAGCTCTGGATCTTTAAAAACAAAGTTGAGGGGCAGCTAGGTGCCACAGTAGGTAGAGCACCAGCCCTGAATTCAGGAGGACCTGAGTTCAAATCCGGCCTCAGACAGATAACACTGACTAGTTGTGTGACCCAAAGGCAAGCCACTTAACCCCGTTGCCTAGCCAAAAAAAAAAAGTTGTAAATTTAATGGTGAAATTCTTCTTTCCTCTGTAGGTTTGTTTGGATGGGGGACAGGAGCTAGTAAAAAAAAAAAAAAGGTCATGCCTTTCCATGTCCAGTGGGAAAAGAGAGGCCTGCAGTGGTGAACTCACTTGTATAATTCAGCAATATGCATTTATTGAGCACTTAGTATGTTTTAGGCCCTGGAGGTACAAGCATAAAAAATTAGAATAGCTAGTGGTCAAGTTTGGATAGAACATAGAATGATGGGAAGGGACAAAGTTGGTATTTAATAGATGCCTGTTAAATTGCATTTCAGCCACTAAAGGATTGATGATGTGGTTGTTGTTTTTAATCAGGGAAGTAACAAGCCCCATCGTCACAGTTTCTAGGATGATTTTTTTGTATGTTTTGGATTGGACTTGACATTTATTAGCGTTGGGAACTTTCAATGAGAACACTTCCTCTATCAGTGCAGGTCGCCATCTTTGCAACTTACAGTCTTAGAGCTGGCTAGAGCCCTGAGAAATTACATGGCTTGCCCGAAGTCATGCAGACAGGGTGTGGCAGGTCTGGGACTCAAACCCAGGGCTTCCTGTCCACTACTTGCTGCAGAACCATTTTACACGTAGAGAAATTGAAATGGACAAGTCACAAAACATAAAGATCCAGAAATTCAAGTCATAACTTACCACTCAATCTCCCACTTGTGTTACACCTCTCTAAAAATTGTCAATGGGTATGGGGTAGAGGGTAGTGTGGAGGTTCCAAGTTGATGAAGGAAAAGGGAGGAACGTTAATTGACCATGCACTCCCCCTCCAGACTTCCCCCTCCCGCAATTCCAGTGACCAAAGAAAATTTAGCTTCAGAAGTGACAAATCTTTGGAACTCCCCTTCTTGCTAAAAATCCAGGTCTTGAAGATCTACCGAGAGGCTGCTAGGTGAGATAGTGAATTGAGTACCAGACTTGGATTTCAATTTTGCCTTAGGTTCTTAGTAACTTTGTGACCCTGGGCAACTCTTTTATCTTGTTTTATTTACCTGCAACAGGAGAGTGATAATAGTTCCTCCCTCATAGGTGTAAGATGTTTTTGGCTATCCCTGGTCAAGTCATTTAATCACATTGAATCTCAGTTTCCCCACTTGTGAATTGGAGATAACAACCTCTGTGTCTCAGGGTTGTTGCAAAGATCAAATGATATTTGTAAAATGTTTTTCAAGCCTTTAAATGTAATATCAATATTAATCAAATCCTCCATCATACCACCATTAATTAAATTAAGGCAGGGCAGGGTAAAACATATCTATTTTTATTTCCAGTTCTGATTTTTTTAAGGGTTCATTAGAGAACAGCCTGGAATGCTTGTCTCCAGGGAAGTTTCTGGATCAAACCCTGTCACCTCTGACCAGGGCAGATGAAAAGGACGGTAGAATTTGCCCAATGTGCATTGAGGCTGAAGGGAGTGACAGTTAGTGGATGGGCCATATCCAACTTGTCATGTCCAAGTAGTGCTTTAGAAAACTCTCACGTGGAAAGTGTCTCGGCTTCGTGCACTTCTGCAGAATAAAGTGGGCATCTGTGAGGAAGGAGGAGACGTCCTGAGCCTGCTGTTGGCTTTGGTTGATTCCCACTGCTTGAATGAACCTTTTCTCCTCCTTTTTTTCCCCCTATTTGCCATGAAGCGGAAATTGCTTCTTCTCTCCTAGCCTGGTGGGTATAATGTGTGGGCTTCTGAATGACTCTTCTAAAACCATGAATGGAGGGCTTTCAATCCCCTGCCACAGAATTCCCATAGGATGCTCTGTAGTCAGGCCATTATGACTACAAGCTAGTCTAATAGGAGACTGAGAGAATAAAGGCCCTCCCCCCACCCACCCCCTGCCTTCCATTGCAAATGGGCTTGATTAGAAGGAGAGAAAGACAGGGCTATTTCAAGCTCTGACTGTGGAGAACTCGATGGAGGTGAATTCCAAAGCCTGCTGCCAGCTCACTTTTGTCCTCACTTTTGTCCCATTTAGTGACTGGATGCAGGGTGATGGAGATCAGGAGAACTCTCCGTAATGCCTAGACCTGTAGGCAATTGGATTCCCTACTCCTTTATCATATCTCTATCGTGACTGAGGGAAATATATCATCTTGTTTTGAAATTTAAGCTTGGGTATAAGGATTGACAAAAGAGGTACCATGGCATAAGGAAAGCAGAATGTCTTTGAAAGCAGAGGACCTTGGTTCAAACCCTCTAACTGTCCCCTTGCCAGCAGCAAGACCTTGGGCAAGTCACTTACCCTTCCTCGACCTCAGTTTTCACATCTGTAAATGAGTAGGTTGGATCAGTGTCTTCTTAGGTACCTTTTATCTTCAAATCCATGACCTGGTGAAGGTGAAAAAAGGAGAGGGAAGCCACTTCAACCCTCTGGGCCTCAGTTTCTTCCTCTGTAAACCAATAGAGGTGGTGGAGTTCATGGCCTCTAAATTTCCTCTAGATTCTAAGTCTGTGAGCCTATTTATGTGCCCCTCTCTATTCTCCAGTTAGGCAAGGTGGGATAGGAAAGAGGGCATCTCCCTGTTTGCCATCCACTTCTAAAGTCATCAGCATGACCTCATTCTGATGGAAGGGAATGAGAGGCAGTATTGTACAATGGGAAGAGCAATGAATTGGGGATCATTTTAATTCTACCTCTGATGTTCATTACCCATGTGATCTTAGACATGACACTTAACCTCTCTAGGGCTCAGGATTTTCATTGGCAAAGCAAGGGGTTTGATCTAAACAGCCACTGAGGGTCCTTCAGAATCTAAATCTATAGCCCTGTGATGATCTCTGTGCCTCAGTTTCTTTAGCTGTTGGACTAGCTGACTTCTGAGGCCCCTTCCAGATAGTGCTAAATCTTTGATCCGAAGATGAATATTAAGAGGGGAAAGCATCATGATATAGTGGAAGGAGCAGTAGAGTAATAATCAGCAGACATAGGTCCTAGTCCTAGCACTGTTATTCATTAATTGTATGACCCTAGGTAAGTCTTTTCCCTTCTCTAGCCTCAGTTGTAAAATGAAAAGATTGTACCATATGACCTCTAAGGTCCTTTGCACTTCTAAGATCTTATTAATATTATGTAGAATACAAATATCTCTGAAGGCCTGAATTGTGTGTCTGTGCTGTCTTAGAGACCTCAGTGTCTACCACAGTACTTTTCATATAGTAGGAACTTAACGTTTGTTCAGTTGTGTTGTATCGAACCTCTATGACTATACTGGGAAACAGTAATGATACAACTCTAGGTTAAGAATCATTGAATTGAATCAAGGTTTCAGCTCTTTGTCAGTTTTGAAAGCTCAGGAAGTATGTGCCGTGTGTTTCTGCTCTCCTTGGTAGCCCTGCTGGCTGGAGAAAGATTGATTTCTTTTCCACCTTAGCATTGAAAAAGAAATGAGAAGCTGACAGTGAATAATTTGACTATTCAGGTTTCCCACTATTAATATGAAATGGTGTGATCTGTCTGACAGCTTTACAGCAGCCCCAACCCACCCCCACTCCCACCCCCCACTGCTATCAATTCAGGTGGAAGGGTCAGCTCTTATTACCACCACACTCCATTTCCAGAATCATCTAACTCAGATGTTAAAAATAACATGCTTCCAAAACTGGGTTGTTTTAATCACAGTTGGTTAGAACCCCAATGGATTAGAGCCACGAGATGGCAGGAGGGGGTGATGCTTTATAGTAACCTTCAGCCAGGGCAGTCTCCAGGGAAATAAATCTCCAGCAAGCTTCATCTACAGTACATCATAGGGTGACAGAATTTCAAAGGTGAAAGGGCCTACAGAAGACAAGTAGTTCAACTCCTCTGTGAACAAGAATTGCCTTTATAGCATATCCATTGAAGATCCCCCAAAAGAGTAAAGACACATTTCCTGAGACAGCCCAGTCCACTTGGGGATAGCCGTGCCTGTGAGAAAAGTTCTCGTGACATCAGTCCACCCGTTGCTCCTAGTTTTGCTCTCCAAGCCAAGCAGAATACAATTCTAACCCCTTTTCCAGGTGGATAGATAGATTAATGGGGAGATGGACAGATAGAGAGATAGATGAAGAATTTATTAAGAATTTACTACATTTCAGGCACTAGACTGCTGGGGGTACCCCCAGCATAAACACAAGCAACAATGACAGTCCTTACTCTCAAGGAGCATAAATTCCAATGAATTAGATTCTGATGGGGCTGGAAAAAAGGTGAATGGAGAACAAGGCTACTGGTGAAAAGATAGAGAAGACTTGAGAGTGAGATTTGGAACCAGTAGTAGAATGAGCATGGCCTAGGTAATTCATAAAATGGTCGTCAGGCCAGGGACTCACCAATCAGAAGAGGTAATGGACATATCTCCAGGGTGAGGATACTGGTAAAGGGGTGAAGTCCAGAGAGGGAAGCCAGTAGTGAATGAGCACAACCTGGGTACTTCATGAAGTTCTGTTCTGGGGGAAGGACTCACCAATCAACAGAGTGGGCTTTTCAAATGCTTGGAGACAGCTATCAACTCTCTACTATGTCTTCTATTCTCTAAACTAAACATCCCCATAGACTAAAGGCCCTTCACCTTTTCTGTTATTCTTCTCTGAGAACCTCCATCTCCTTCTTAAAATGTGGTCCTAGAAATGAACAAAATACTCCTGATGTATTCTGATCAGGGCAATATGCTATGAGATTAATATCTTACTTCTGGATGATCTATTTTCTCAATGTTACTGAAGAACTCATTAGGATTTTTGGCTGCCCTATTATATCCTTAACTTAGGTTGAGATTGCATTTCACTGAACAGCTTATATCCTTCACTGAAAGGGGACATTATGTAAGTAATTATTTTTTTAAAATGGTGAAGAAAAATTTAATTTACTCTAATTGAAAAAAAAATCCATAACCTCTTCAGAGGAGAGACATAAGAATGTGTGTTAATAAGAAAGAAGTTGGTAATCTGTGCTGTGGGGCATGAGAAGTAAGAAGAAAAATCAAAGGAAAAGAATGAACTTGCCAATGAAGTTGTCTGCTCTGTGTGGGTCGTGTCTGGGACTCTGATCACTCAGATGAGTTTGAGGCATGAAAATGTGTTTGGTGATTCATAACATCAACTAATTGCTTTGCTCTTTAAAGAGATGGCAACAATTGAAAGAGGAGAATAAAAAGTCGTACTCAGTGAACTCAATAAATATGTTTTAGAAAGATTATTTCTCAGGAACACACAATATCTCTTCCAGGGTGGACTCAGAACCAGAACAAATACAAATTCATGATTTCATAATACTTTGGCCAGTGCAGTTGTCTGTGGGGATTATGGGCCTGAAAAACGACATCCCTTAACTCCAAAGTCCACAATAAATTCTGCTTGGCCCAAGACAGCAGAACTAGGAATGGGAGTTGCAGAGAAACAGATTTAGGCTTGATGGTGAGCTAACAATTTCAGCTATCCCATAGTTCAGGGCTTCCTTGGGAGTTTTCCCCTTCCTAGAGTTCTTCAAGCAGGTGATTGGCCACTTGTCAAAGAGATCGTAAGATTCTTGCCGAGGTACCAGTTGTCTCAGTTGGCCTGGGAGATCACTTTCAACACTGTAATTATGTGATTGCTTATATTGTAGGTCATAGTGTAAGCCAGATGTGTTAAACCCAATGCCTGCTAAAAGCAAGCACCCTGCAACCCCCCCCCATTCTTACCTGTTCTACAAGATTTGATAACTACACTGATAAAGATAAACTGATAAAATCTTATTATCAGTTGAAATATAGATGTGGCCAATATGCATGTCACTATTTTGTTATACAATAAGAGGGAGACCTATTTGCTACCCATCAAGAAAATCCTTTATAAGAAACTTAGAATTATAGGATAAAGATTTTAAAACTCTAAGCTATCTCAAAGGCTGCCTGGTTTAATCTTCTTATATGACAGATGACTATTTGAGTCTGGGAGGGGTTGAACATCTTGGCCAATGTCACACTGGTTGTGAGTGGTCGAGCCAGAATTTGAACCCGTATCATCTGACTCCAATGTGCTGTCCATTGTACCAAATAGCAGTAATTTACAGCAAATCGTATTTCTAAAATGCTTTAGAGTTCACAAAGGATTTGCCACAGAATAACCTTATGAGGATGTTATTATAAGTATCATTATATTCATTTTCTGGATGAGGAAACTTGAGGTTAGGAGGGGCCAGATTAATTGCACAAGGTCTCATGGCATGGTAATTGTCAGTCAAGATATAGGCCCAAGCCTTCTGACACTAAGTCTGGTTTTCTTTCCTCTATGGCTTTCATGATACTAAAGAATTTCAGGCAAGGCCCTCCCTTAGTCCACAGAGTGTTCGCTTACAGACCACTGACTGCTTGACACAGTAATTTTGAGGGAAGAAGAAATTGAAAACTAGTGGTAAGAGCCACTTCAAGTGAAGATAAGTGATCTTAGAGCTAATCTGATCCAATCTCCCCATTTTCCAGATAAGGATAGTGAAAACCAAAGATTGGCTTGTCAAGGCCACATATTTTTAGGTGGCAGAGTCCAGATTTGAATCTAAGTCTGTCCTCTGACTCTAAATCTAGCGCAGGGGAAGGGGGGGGGGTCATTCCATTAGATTACTTACTTCTGCAAGGGAAAGATAAGAAAAATATATTTTGATTTCTAAAAATGTTCAGAAATACACCATGATAATTGGAAACAATTTTCAAAAAGAGAAATACAATCATCAACCACATTTAAAAAGGGCTCCAAATCACTAAAAGAAATGCAAAAACAAATCTGAGGTTTCACCTCTGCCAGCAAATTGACAAAAAACAATTAAAATGAAGATAATCGACATGAACTGGGCTATGGGAATAATAACAGTAGCCAGAATTTACAAAGCGTGCTGTACAAGTTATTTCATTTCATCCTCATAACAACCCAGGAGAGAGGCGTTTATTATTATCCCCATTTTACAGATGTGGAAACTGAGAATGAGAGTGATTAAGTAACTTGCCCAGAATCCTGCAGCTGGCAACTGTGCAAGGTGTGATTTGAGCCCAAGTCTTCCTGACCCAGAGTTCAGTAGCTCCAAGTTCTGGCTGCCTCCAGACAATAACTGCTGTCTGAGTTGAAAATGAGGCAAACAATTCAGAATTGTGCAGGAAAATTCACTAAATTCTTCCTACCCTTTGACTCAGAGGTGCTGTAGCTGGGTCTATACCCCAAGCCTGTCATAGACAGAATAGGTCCTTTATATTCTAAAATACTCATAGCAATATTTTTTGTGGTAGCAAAAAACTAGATACCAAGTGGGTGTCCATCGACTGGTAAATGGCAGAATAAATTGTAGTAAATGAATATAGAAGAATATAATTGCGCCACCAGAA